GTAGTTGGCTCTGGGGCGTCCCACGGTTTGGTCGAAATCGTGCAAAGAAATAACCACTTTGAGTTGCTTCGTGCCCGAAGCAACGAACTGCTTGCGTTCACTGTGGTAGTTTCGGACATGATCGACCAGCCGCGCGATCCTTCCTTTTGGCCATTCTCTGAAAGGGCAGAACGGACAAGCCCGACATCCTTGCTTGCCGACGTGCTCTGCAGGATCTTGGAGGAACGTTGTCACTTCTTTTTTCAGGAGAGCCAGAAGTTCGTCACCGACACGAGTAATACTCTCATCATTGTCATCGTCTTGTTGATGCTCGCCGTCCAAGCCATCATCGATCAGGTCTCGCACAAACACGTCGTCCTCCACATCGCCAGCTCCTCCCGCGTAGTCATTTTCGCTTCCGCCTGCAAGAGTTTCCAGCAGAAGACTGTAGTCTTCATCTTCTGCCTCGCGGTCGTCTAGCTTCTCAGGCTTCTGGTTCACATAGAAAAGGATGATGTACTTGCGATCAGTTGCATCTGACAACATTCTCGAAAGATGCCGCAAAGAGAAAGTGTAGCTGACGGTCACATCCGTCACACAGACTTCCTCTTCCGGGAGAGTTTCCAGGGCGACGCAGTGCGGGTTTCCATCTGTGGCGAGATGGAGCAGCAGCTTTTGGCCTGACTTTAAATCAGCGGGTGGCAAGCGGGGAAAGATTTGGAGCTTCAGCTTCTCGGCGACGTGCGTGTAGCGTCTCTGCTGGCGTCTTCTGAAAAAAGCGTGTTCGGGCCCATCTGTCATCGATGCCATGGAAGATGCCTGATCTTGGAAACCAAGATGATGTAGAGCTGCCAGTATGCAGTTTCCAGTCTCACGAAGGCTTTCTGGACATTCCACTGGTTTACTGTTACTAATCTGCTGCAACAACGCATGGAAGCTGTGTCGCTCCTTGGAACGAATGTGCACTTGGAAGCCGGTGTCCTGTTGTATCGCATAGGAGCAACTGCGGCAAAAGGCCTGCGCATCTGGTTGCACGACGTCTCGATCCACTCTGATGCCATCGAAATGCAACGACATGTGTTTGCTTCCTAAAGGCTTCAGCTTCTGGATCCAGGAGTCTACCACTTGATCCTCGACGATATTCCAGAAGTACGTCAAGACTGACACATCAGGCTTGTCCTTCAGTTGCACCAAACAAGGCCAAGCTGTGTCTTGCAACAATGTCGCAGCCACCCAGCGACAAAAAAGAGATGCTCGCTGCAGGTCCTGTATGAAAGCATTTGTCGCGAGTGAGTCGGGTGGAGAGCCTCCGTTGAAGACCTTCTGCAAAACAAACTTTCCCTCGGACAAGCTTAGCTTCAGCTTGTCTTCAATTACATGCTGTCTTTGCGTGGCACAGAGACGCAATGTCTCTTTAACCTTCGGCCAACATTCATGTTTCGGATTTAGTTTCTCCAAGACTTGTACGAGCAACGTGAAACAGCAGTTCTCGATGTCCAGGTCGATGGTGTCCGCAAGGACTACGCTCTGCCACGCTGTGCCAAGAGTTTGCACAGAGTGTCCATCTGCGTATCTGCGAGTACGCACATTGTCGAGCTTATATCTATATGTCACAGGAATGCTGACAAAGCCGTCCTGACCGCCCCCTTCGAATGGATTCGCACCCGCAGCGTCGCTTCCTGAAGACTTGCCTTGCTTTGCAAAGAATTCCTCAGTGGTTTCAAGAGAGGACGTCTTTCTTGTGTACCGACGACGAGACGGCGTCTGAGCAGGTTGGGACAAAAAAAGCTGCTCCTGGGATCGCTGATCTTCATGTAGTTTTTGTGTNNGTCTAATAGCCCGCGAGCACATTCTTCATGTCTTTGTAATTTTTCAGCTAGCGGTCGCCAATATGCGATGGCGTCAAGCTTCTTCTCAGACTTACGGCCTTTGCCAGAATTCAACTTGCTCAGCACCTTGGCAAAAAAATGCAGCAGCAGCTCAGCATTCGCCACCCGGGCCGGGTTGCGCTCCACAACATTCCACAGTCTTCTAGCGTTCAATCGTTCAAGCAGAACCGTGGTCTGAGACTCATAATCGACACGCAACACATCTTCCAGTGACTTGGCGCATGCCACTGTGGGAATGAAGTTCTCGGGCTCGGCCTTTGTATCCACTGACAGGAAAAGACGAAGCTTGATCAGCTCCTCGATCATGTCTCTGCCGAGGCCGAGTTTGGCTTTTGAAAAACGCTGCCACCAAGGCCTGCTGATGATTGCTTTCTTGGCCTCGAGGAAGTACGTAACAGCAGCAGCATTTGCTTTCTCCGCGGCGGTGCCCGGAGCTGGTGGCTTGTCCTCGTCCTCGTTCCGCTTGAGCAAAGCCAGCAGACTGGCCCCCGGCGCATCGCCGGCGGTCTCCTGTGTGGACAAGGTAGTGGACTACAGTACATCGTGCGCGTTGCAACCTATACGGTCTAATCGGAGCTCCATCAAATAAAAAAAAAGTGGTATGCATAGAAAAACACTATATCAAAAGGAAACGAATCAACAACAGAAACAAAACTAGAAAAAGACACGGAGAGAGGAAGCATAGTAGAGAAAGGTAGAACGAGAAACAGCAGACATACACCTCGCGCCAAGGGTCCTCTGGCGGCGGCGGCAGCCCACACGCGGCTCTCACCTTTCGTTCGGTGAGGCCGCTCAAGGCGTAATCTTCGATCATTTGAAAGCAGGCTTGTCGCGTGTAGTGCGACTCGAAGCCGTGTTGCTGCTCCAGTGATGCCGCAATGGCCGGGCCGCTCTCCAAAAAGCTCCGTAGAGAGGGGTCCTTTGCGAAAATACCATCTGCGTCCGGGTCCAGGTACCCTTCTCCGAAGGATGTGTTCTCAATGAAGATTGGCTTTGGATTCCACACTAAACAGCGTCTGTAAATCGAGTTAAAGTTTGCTTCCATGACGTTGCGGAAGGTCATAATCTTGTTCGTCTCGAACCTTTTGAAGCCTGTGACACGCATCATCTTCGTGACAAACCCGTACGGCTTGCGGCCGGCTAAGTCATCGGCCGACATAAACTTTTTGTACAGGTCTTGTTGAAAGTGACGATGAGTCTCCGGCGCCTCCTGAGCAGTTATCATCCAACAATGAGCAAATTGCTCGAGTTGTTTTCTCATTTCTTCTTCATTGTGAAAAAGGTTCGGATCTATAAAGGCATGATTATGCCCATAGACCGCAGCAAGATGACTGCTGAATAAGGACTGGCCAGTTCCGCCTGCGGATTCTCCTATAAAGCAACGGTCAATGTTCTCGCCGCGCTTCGCCAACGCGACTGCAGCCAGAGTAGCCTTATAGTAGTCCTGGTTGCACCAAAAGGTTTCCTTCAGAAACTTCTGAAGTCTCGATCTAGCATGCGCCAACACAGGATCTGGCAAAGATGACCGCAGAGGATGAGGGATCCTGACGTACAGATTGTTGTCCGGCGAGGGCGCTACTAGCTTGACGTGCTCTGCTGCTGTTACATCATACATGACAGAGACATCCGAATAGGCGCAGCCCGGCTGTCGTGACGAAGGTGCATCGCACCACTGGACGACGAAATGCAGCAGCCGTCCTTAGTTGGATTCCGCAAATAATGCTGCCTGATGCTCGAGCTACTACGTGGAAAAAAACTACAGAAGAAAAAAACCTCATACAGTATACTGCAACTATTGATTGCTAGAGTCGTTCTTCCAACAGGTCTTTCTGCAACGGGGCAAGCACCCTGGCCAGCATGTACGCTATCTTTTCAGGCCAACCCACAGCTGCCACAGCATAGTCTGCTTCCTGGTCGACTCGTCCTTTCCGACGATTTCCTGATGTGTCCGCCATTACAGCAGCGTCCTCGCAAATCGTGAGAAACTCTGCGATGCTGTTGTACTCTGCGAGCATCTTGACAATCGCTCGCAGGATGGCCGAGTCAGAGCGCTCGGTGGCAGGTGACATAAGGCGAAACAAACCCTCCAATCGCAAAAGTGTTTTCTTGAGTCTGTAGAACGTCGACTCTGGAGGTACGCCGTTGTAGGCATCGAAAGCGCCTTCGCTGTGGTATAAGTAACACACGCCACGATGAGCGCGAATGTATCTTTCACCTTCGATAATCCAAACGAGGCCAACAAAATCTCGAACGAAAATGTCAGTAAGCCGGGTTCTATACACATTCAGAGCTGCGGCGGTAAGACGTACCATGTCCTCGGACCATGTCGGCTGCCTGATACGAACATATTCGATTTGTCTCTTGGTCTGCTCTTTCACGGATGCCACTGGTTGCTGCTCGTCGAAAACAGGACATGAACTCAAGGAGGATGAACATGCCTTGGATGTCAGATCGAATAAAGCCTCGAAATCTTGCCCAGAGGTAGAGGCCCCGGGCATCAAGCNNTCCGGAGAAAGCCCGGGGCAAAGTATGGCCAAAGCTAAGTCCGCTTCGGCAGGCTGTCCCGCGGCATCCGTATCAACCAAGGGCCCGATCTCTTGAGGCGTCGCAACCTCCATCTGATCCGAGGCGACGTCCTGTTCTATGCGGGCATCGAAGGTGTCCTGAGAAGCACCGCCTAAATACTCCTTGAGTTTGGGACATACAGGACACCGACGAGTGCTGAGGGAGTCGTCGGAGAAGACAGAGCCGGGAAGCAACTCCAAAGTCTGAGGTGGCATCGCACCGCCGACCTCGTCGTGGATGTAGGAATCACGCATCCCTGCCCTGGCAGAGACTGGAGTCCAAATCAGACAGCGACGACGAATCGAAGCGAAGTGCTGCTCCGGAAAAAGTGTGAAGCAGTTGCTTTCAAGTCGCCCATGCAACCCAGCAAGCCGCAACGTCCTTGCAACGAAGCTGTAGAAGCAACCGCCGTCCAGTGGCCGGACCCAAGAAGTGCGATCGAACGTCTGTGCTCCCATGAACAGAGGAAGGGATTGAAGTCTCCGTTCCATCGCTAGTTGCCGCGAGATCAAGTCAAACATGGCGAACTGTATAACCTAAGAGAAGACGAGTCGCGTACAGGACCCCCAAAGAAAACAATTACAAAACTTAACTATTGCTTGATGGGCTGAGACACCTTCGCCGCCACGTGGTCTATGCGAGCCTCAAAGGACTCCTGAGATGAACCGCCCAAATAGTCCATGAGTTGGTTTGGACACACAGGACAGCGACGGGCGGGAGATCGCAGCCTGTGAACATTGCAAATCCACGTGGAACACAACGGACAAACGCACCAGTTGCCAGGAGTCAGGGTCCAGTCTCTTGCACAAATGGCGCAATTGATTTGTGCGTTCCAGTCGATCGGCGACGCAAGCGGACGAAGGTGCATAGCGTCCCAATAGCCGCCTGGCTGCACGTGCATCAAGACGGACAGCTGTGCCAATGAAGACGGTCCATCTGGAAATTCTTCATGTAGTGTGGCTCGAGAAACGCCAATGCCATCGATCGAAAACTCGAAATGCCGCCGGCTCCAGCTGACCCCAAAACGATGAACTCGTTCTGGATGCAGCAAGCACGTGTTTCTGTGTGGATGCACTTGCGGAGATTCGTCATTGAGGCCGATGAACACCGCTGGATTCGAACGCCAAGGGTTGACAACGCTACAGTATGCCCGCTGTTCACTGTGCTGCCATTGACGCACGCCGATGTAGAGGCCGATGGCACAAGCGGGAAGTCGGAGATCGAAAATCGCCCCTCCCATCAGCGGACCACGCGACTTGAATCCGGTCACAAACCGGTTGGGCTGCTGAGAGCAAGTGACCTCTGTATCCCATTCCAGCGCAGTTCGCGGCGGGAACGAATGGAACATAGCCAATTGCAGATCCTGGGAAAGGCCAATGATATGCCAGACTCTCCAAGGAAACAAACAAAAAAAACATCTTATGTATAACTTCTTGCCAGACAAGCCAAGGCACATTCACAGTCACAACTCTGGCCTCTTCCAATGCGAAATGGAGGTCCCGCAACACCGACGCCTCCAGAAATTCGAGGCCGCGCAGCGACAAGCTGCGGCCTCGCCAATGCTCGCGACTGCGCGCCGAGCGAAGCATGCCTCTGCATGTCCAGGATAGGTGTTTTAGGAAATTGTAGGAGAAAAAATAGCCTGGAAGAAGCTCCAAGGCCTCAGAGGGCAAGGACCCTCCGAGCTCGTCCACATCCTGGTAGGACAGCTGAGGCGGACTTCTGACCCATCTAAAGCATCCACTGGCGTCACAA